GGTGGTGGTGGTGGTGGTGGTGGTATGGACAACGCTGAAACGAGGTCGTTTTTCCGTACTATGCCGAAAAACGAAGCACGCAATACTTAAGGATTTAGTAGCCCTCGATTGCTCAATTTCTCTCTGTTCCCCTAGCATGTTCGGCAAAAATAAATGGGGGCTTTTACCCACATGACAACGCATCAGGCCTTACTTTCTCAAGTGACTTGGCGTGAGCATGATAGTCATTCCATATTTTGTTATTACGAATGGCTGGCTGGTTTCAAATACTTCGGTAAAATTTGAACCATAACGAAATAAAAGCCAGATTCTACCGTGTCTACCTAGTTGTACAGCGCACCCTCGTTTGGATTGAATTTAAACGATGCAATTCGTATTTTACTTCTGCCAATAATACACTATTGAGAGTGCAGACGTGCTTTGATAAAAGGTAAGCCGTGAAGATCTTGTACAGAGAAGGGTTACTCAGCTGTGCGCTTGAGGTATTTGAATAAAATGCAAGGGCGTCTTTGTCAACCATCGAAGGGTTTTGTTGTAGATTTGTTGTTCGACAGTAAATGTAGTTTGTTGTCGGCAATTTGCGATAATGGTAAAACTAGTAGCATGGTATGGAATCCCTTTGCTCACTTATATATTTGAAATTTGTGCCTACCGATGTCAGTTTACAAATACGCACATATATGTAATATCGTGCTGCAAGCAGGACAGATCAGTGCATGTCACTATCAGGTGACTGAGTACTTCCGATTTCTATCGGCATGGTCTTAAAAGGGGCGCACAGTAGATGCGTCGGACGAACACATGAGCTAGAGCGTGACCAGCAGACCTTATTGGGAATGCTCACCAATAACAAGTGCCAACACTGAGTGTGCGGTGGCACTTCCAGGTGCAGGCTGTCGCCACGCCAATTGGGGATCTGAGCCGCTCTCATTTTTTCTTGTTCAAAGTCCCGACCAGTCGTGCGTTGTGGACTGGGGAGTGTGTTGACACGCCTAAGTGCAAATTCTCGACCTGCCAGCCACCTGCACCATCTCCCGCCTCCTGTCTTCTTGACTCTTTTACGACTCCAAGCCCAGGTGGGAGAGAGAGAGAGAGGGGGAGATAGGGTGTGGTATGTGTCGCGCAATTCTGCCAAACAAATTTATGCGCAAGTCTCTGTCCCTGGTTTCGCCCTGCTTTGAAGCACACAGTGGACATCGTCGGTCACGACAATCGAACTGTCGTTTGCCGTTAACCTGGATCGACTTGGGACCTCAAACGGAATGCTGGAGGCCTTAGGCATTACTGACTGATGGCGGAATTAAATGCAGAAATGTTTACTCCAATCTATGTGTCTTTTTCCATAGTGGCATATGTACATGGTTGCCATGCAGCATGTCATTTGCTGCTTCGATATTCTAACAATTATGGGCTTTATTGTTTGGTTAATAATTTTCCGTGTTTTGCTGGAAATGGACATTTTTGGCGCGGAATAGGTTGGAAGGTTGAAGCCACCTATACCCAGACCACCAAAAGTATGAGGAAAATAGTGTTACAAGTGAAAGTTTATGTGATAAAGGGGGTGTCAGTAACTCGTCACTTAAGCAAGATGTTCTTGTCAAGGAACTCCTCTTCCTTGAGTAGTGTTCAATGAAGCTCTAAAGCGTTTATATAGCACCTGCAATTATGTACAATTTGTCAAATCCCCATGCCAGCACCATCCTGAATAGCAAGGCATTATGAAGTAGTGTCTCTTCCTAGCTGGCACCGTGCGTGTACAGTTTATAACATCGCTCGAAATAATCCTCTTTACATATGCCTTACCCACGATAATGGATGTCTCTACACTTCTACTAATAAATGTCAACCGATTGTCTGCCAGCACTTCTCTGTGCCCACTTTTATAGCGAACGCACTTGAAAGTGACTACTAGCTCTTTTACGGCGTCATAACTGTGTTCACTATGTCAATAAAAACCGGAGCGTGTTTTCGTTGAGGTTGGGTACTCCAACCACGTACACGTGGAATCACACTATGAAGGCTAGCGTGGAGCATTCCTGGTCCCCGGAACCCCTTCTTAATCCAAACTTAGTAATCAATGTCTACCCCACTGGACTCGAACGAAGCCGCCATCCTCTCTTTTACCCTAGCGGGCATTACGGCATTTGCCCCCTCCTCTCAGCTTACAGGCGCTTCCAACCCCCAATCAAGGATGGGCTGCCTTATTATGTGGGCGATCTGCTTTCAACTGCTCTAGCGTGATAAGCCCATCTGGCCCTTGTTTATTCAAGTTGACGACCAGCTGTTGCTACTAAATTGGAAATTCAAGTATATAAACCGCTTTTTTGAAGCCTCCTATTTAACTTATTACTGCCTGGAATCCTTGTTGGCTCATTTTTGCGCAAGTTTGTGTGTATTATGTCTAGTCAAATACAAAACATCGAAATCAAATAAAATGCAGTGCAAAAGAGGTATTTTCAACGGACATACTGGTTAACTACTTAACTCGGTTCAACTGTAACAGGGCTCAAATGTCCCGATTTTTAAAATAGCAAAATACTTGCGTTGCTGGCCGTTCCCTTAGTGGTTTCAGGAGTGCGATTTCAAAAACGTGCAAGATAGTGCTAATGATCTAGGTTTGCGTCAGTTATTCATCCCCCTTTGGCAAATCACTCTTGCTTTGCGAAGCAAATCAGGTTTGTTTTTTAAAAATGTGAGCATTTAGGGAAGTGCCAATAGAAGCAAAGAGCCGAGTCCCAGGAAGTAGTCTTGAAGAAGGAGACACGATCGCCGGGACAAGAGCTTTATTAGCCTGACGTTTCGGATTCCTACTCGAATCCATCATCAGAGACAAAAGAGCAGAAACGGGTGGTTGTTGCACAAGGGGCTGCGGTATTTATAGGATGCAGTAGCCATGCTGCCGCATACCTATGAACGTTCACGGCTTCCCCCTTCATCCGGGATTGTCGCACTTGGTGTGATCATTGCTTGATGGCCGACATTCGAGTTGATAATTGCTGCAATTTCATCACGTGCGTTGGATGTTGGCGTGATGATTGCTCGACCATCTGACGAATCGACCCCGGTGTTGGGAAGAGTGTTCACCTCTGCGCTCCCCGCATGGCTTGTTACACCGCCTAGGCGAAGTTTCAGTACGGAGTATGGAATGGGAAGATCGTTGCACTTGTTGATGGACTGGGGGCCAGTAAACCATGATTCCAGTAGCTCCCAGCTCACTCGGTTGTCACCTCTTGCGAGAATTTCGGCCTCATCGAATTTAAATGTGTGGCCGGATCTCGTCGAATGAGCTGCAACTTGAGAGCTGGCGTCATTTCTGCGTGTTCGGCCATTCTCGTTCGGAGCTGTCTTCCGGTTTCTCCGACGTAGTTGCTTTGTCCGCAACTGCACCAGATCCGATAAACGACTCCAGACGTTTCTAGTCGTGGCAGTGGGTCTTTCGGTTTCATGATCAGACGTCTGATGGTTGCCTCCGGTCTGTGTGCCACTCCAACCCCAAGTGGTGCGAGAAGGCGGCCGACAGCTTCCGAAACGTTCTTGACATACGGAAGTGCCCGCCAAGTCTTGGTGTCCGTGCGGTTAGGCCTTTCGTCCCTTTTGCTTATGCACCGGTCGACGAAGTTGCGCGGGTAGCCATTGGCTTTGAAGACCCGTCGGAGGTATTGTAGTTCAGCAACTTTGTCTTCCGGCTCACTGCAGTGCGTTTCGACACGCCGATAGAGCGTCCTTACACAACTGCGTTTGTGGCTGATTGGGTGGTTACTGTTGAAGTTCAGTACTTGCATCGTATTTGTCGCTTTCCTGAACACTTTGGTCTTTAGTCCACCACAATCCTTGCGGCATACGAGGACATCCAGGAAGGCCAGCTGGTTGTTCTCTTCCTCCTCAATCGTAAATTGAATGTCCGGGAAGATGGCGTTGAGATGTTCTTGGAATGTCAACACCTGATCCCGTTCGATGACGACGAAGGTATCATCCACATACCGGGCCCAGAATTTGGGTCTGTGGTGTTGGAAGACCAGCGACTTTAACCGTTGTAGGACCGCCTCGGCGATGAATCCCGAAATCGGCGAACCCATTGGTGTGCCCTTCACCTGTTCGTAGATTGTCCCGTCGAACGTGAAGTACGTCCTGAGACAGAGCTTCAAGAGCTGAAGGACCTGGGCGTGTCCAAGATGGTTCTCCGTTTCATCGTATTTGCTTTGTAGTAGCAGCTCAATTGTCTCGATCGCCAGGTCCTGGGGAATAGAAGCAAAAAGTGATGTAATATCAAAAGATATCGTGACCTCATTTGGATGGATGCTTACCCCTTTGAGTTCCTCCAGGAATTGCTCTGACGAAGAGACCGTGGTGTCTGACTCAGTGGTCAGGAAATTGAGACGCCGGAACAGCCACTTAGCCAGTCCGTACGTTGGAGTCCCTTTGAGCGACACGATGGGTCGGAGAGGAGCGCCGTCTTTGTGCACCTTAGGGAGGACATAGAATCGGGCCAAAGCCGTATCTTTGGGTCTCGCCATGCGTCTGTCGATCGGTTTTATTGCACCTGAGTTCTCCAAGGCCAACAACGTAGCATTAATTTTGCGTGTCAGCGCCTTTAAAGGGTTCGTTGCACATGGGACATAGAACTGTCGGTTCTCCAGTAAACCTTTGGCTGTTTGAAGGTAGCCTGTCCTGTCCAGTACAACTGTGGCGCGTCCTTTGTCCGCTGGCACGATGACCAGGTCTTTGTCGGCCTTTAGTTCTCTAAGCGCATCACGTTCGACCTTGGAAAGCACTTCCCGCGGCCTGTGGGCCATCAGGAGAGACGACACTTGGTGTCGGATGAGGTTCTTAGTCTCCTCCGTTGCCTCCGTCTGAAAAAGGATTGATTCCACTGCTGCAATCATGTTAACAGGTTTGGCGTCAGCCGTGTTAAATGAAGCTTCGTGCCGTAAAACCTGCATCTGATCCTTCGTCAGCTCCTTTGATGACAGGTTGTGCACCCGTTTGTCGTTTCTGGGCGACGTTGGATTGGGCAGCTTTCGAAATTTGTTCGCCAGTGCTGCTTCGCGTATCATGCTCTGTTCGCGGGCTTGTTCAGCTATCCTCCGCAGGAGCAGATTCATACCGATTTCACCCATGAACTCACAGCATCTGGTCTTTTCTTGGTCAATCCTTTGACGGTACTTACGGAGTCTCGCGTGGCAATCTTGAAGGTGCACTCGGATCATCCTTCTGCCGTGCTGAAATACTGCTCGTCTCGCCAAATCCGTGTTAACCGGTGGCTTGTATGAAACACATTTCGGTAACACATTATTGTCGAGACACCTGTGCAGGCCTCCCGAAGGGCGAAGGTTTCCCATCGCCGGGCCGATCGGAGCGCATAGCGCTCAAATACATTGCCAATAGAAGCAAAGAGCCGAGTCCCAGGAAGTAGTCTTGAAGAAAGAGACACGATCGCCGGGACAAGAGCTTTATTAGCCTGACGTTTCGGATTCCTACTCGAATCCATCATCAGAGACAAAAGAGCAGAAACGGGTGGTTGTTGCACAAGGGGCTGCGGTATTTATAGGATGCAGTAGCCATGCTACCGCATACCTATAAACGTTCAACGCACGTGATGAAATTGCAACAATTATCGACTCGAATGTCGGCCATCAAGCAATGATCACACCAAGTGCGACAATCCCGGATGAAGGGGGAGTCGTGAACATTTAGGGGAGTGGCCTGTTTAACATTGTCTCGCAATTTAAAAAGTATATTAATTTCCATTTGCTGCGCTGAGCGATTCCTTTCTACCGTAGGCGACCGATCTCATCAAATGTCAACCAAAATTCTTAGATGTGATACCACACATCTTAAGATACTTCGGTCTCGTTGGAATGCTGCCTTTTAAAGGGATTTTTCTCAGTCACACTCAGTTAAATGCCGCCACTTAAGTGGCATGCATTTACCCGCGGATTTTTGACGTCCTTGTAAAATTAACTCAATTCGACAGAAAATATGCACGTGAATATCCCTCCTTGTACTTATTTGGTAGAGAATCACGTTTTGAAATGTTATGTCCGAAAATGTTCAACTCTCGGCTTCGAAAGTGCTTACGATAATATTATTTCTTAAGAAAGTGAAGGGTCTATTCAAATAGCATCGTATCTGTCCGTATATTATTGTCCATTATGGCGTATGCGATGTGGTCCACATTCATGGCAAAATTTTATCAACCCGTATTGCATCATCTTAACGCTATAGAGAAATATACAATTTTCCTTACATAGGATTCATTTAGCTTGTTTGAAAACCCTAAATGCAAACTTAACGACGGACCAGACTTGATAGTATTCGGCAACAGAAAACCATTTTAAAACCAACGACACCTTTTCGTTGCATAAGAAATCTGAAGGGGACGTAATTTTGTACCGAATATATGCCCGAAAATGTGTTTTTTGCACGTGATCAACCTCAGTTTGCTCTGACTATTTTCAGTCTCTAGACTTACACCCCATTTTGCATGTGAACTTCTCGTTTTTCTTTCTTCAACTTCGTTTTTTATGTTTCCCGTTTTCATCCATTAGTCTGTGTGCAATGGACGACGATCTAGTCGTTTAGTGTCGATTTTTCTGTGCAAATTGAAATTGCTGTATTGTTTTTATTCCTTATCTGTTTTTTGTGGTCACGGGTGGCAGTTGATAGGTTGTCACGACATTTGGTAGTATCAATAAATTCTGCTGTTTTAAAGTGGCCAAAAGGTCAAGGGTATGATTTATGGCCGGCGTTATTTACACCAGCGAACATCTGTGTTAAGCAAAAGTGCTGAACATCTAAGAATTTTGCGGTACCACATATTTTGATTCTCCATATTGTCATCAGTTTCAGTTTCAGTGACACTACCTTTACTATTTTATGACAATATTCAAGGAATTTAATAGGCCTTTGAAGACATTGTCAAAAGGACATTGCATTGTTGTATTTTTACCCCGATGACTACCTTAAAGAATCTTGAGTATCCTCACGCAACATCCACTGTGAGGTTTCTTTATTCCTTCCTCTGGTATGTACAAATAAATATCGCCAGTTATTTTCTTTCAGCACAATTGCACCCCGGAGTAGATAATCCCAGGCCTAAACCGCACATTGGCCACTAATAGTTGTTGAAACTGCGTCATATACAGTCAAGAAATTGCTGCAGACTCCGGGCATGGCAACCTAGTTTGCTGGCATGAAGTATGTGCTATTTTGCCTCCTCTCCACGTCCTCGCTCCTGCAATAGCTTGGGCCAAATCCTACCGACATGTTGGAATTTGACCCGTGAAGATTCTTTCTTGAAAACATGCCAACGAAAGTAAGTCTTGGGTTTAATGTCTGCCCGCCAGACGTCCTCAGACTCCATTACCCATTCTGGAGGCTCGTCATCATACCAACCTACCTTCTCACCATGCTTGCAAATCTCTTTCTGGATGGCTCCTCCAAATAATCAGGCTTTATCCCTTTGCTCGCAAATGATAATGGATCCTAATCCTTATAGTTAAAATCAACTCAACCCCATTCCACATACGTTGGCTGTATTCGTCTCAAATTAATAAAACTTCATCGCATTATACATCGCCAACATTGCTGATTTCAAATATATTATGGGTTACTGTACTTCTGTACCCAAAAATGCAACTGGCTTAATATCAGACCAGATTTGTTGTGTATGGCATCTTCTGATTAAAAAAACAAGTAATGATTACTTCACCATCATTACGTTTGGAAAATCACGATCATTAGTGACGCTGGTAGAGGAGATACCGCGATAAGAATATTGCTTTGGGAGAGTGACATTTATTAGCGTTTTAAGTCGAAGAATATAGTTCTCATCTGAGAGATAAACAGTGGTTTTTCTCACAACCTTTCGAGAGACATTTATTTAGAAATATTTTTAAGACATAGATCAAATGTAAATTTTGAGGCGTCTGTAACGCTACATTGATCTATCCAGACCATGTTTATACTCGCCTATGCCTTCACTTTTCCTGTAAAACAGCTTTCCAAACTTGGACGACTTACTCCGTTTGCAAAATCAACTAGGAACAGCTGTCTTCCAGGATAAAAAGTTATAAAATTGACTCTTCGAGCTCTCTCCTGCAATAACTGATTGGCCTTTGCCTTCTAATCCCCCAACCGAGTAGCGGAATATCAGACAAAGGTACCGCACCAAACGCATCCCAACGGATTGGAAACCAAGATGACCAAATGAAAAACCAAATCTCCTGCGTGTTTAAAACGTTTTTCTTAATATAACTTTTCCCGTACTCAATGGATATATGCCAAACCTATTCAACCATGCATCATCTCCTTCCTTTCTAATAATCCTAGTCTCTCGTTTCTGTCGTCTGATCAGTAGTACCTTTAAGTTCCACTTTCCTTCATCCCATTCTCCTCCTCTATTCACTTGTTTAGTTAACGACAAGCGGATTAAACCGCCATTCTAAAAACAGAAGATGCGTTCGCTGGGAGGGATGTACTTATCCTTTGGCAGTTTACATACAGAATTCAGCTGTACGCCTGTGTATTATGTATGCGGACGCTGAGTGAGAGATGGACAATTTCGTTGTGATCTGCGTCTCTCTCGGCTATAAACACCCTTAAATTTTATTTCGCCGAGGCAGCTGATATTCTCACGATTGGGCCAGATATTAAAGTTCCAAATGGCACTTAGGTGGGGATTATTTTCACAGCTGCGAAGCCATTTTTTGCTTTCATTTTTCGAGTTGCTTATAAAAAAATGCGCGAAGTAGAGACAAATGTATGATTACGAAGATTTCCGAGGGGAGGTCAAAATTTGATACAGATATTTTAAATATGTCTAGATTATAAAATTTCAGACGGATGATTTTAAAAATGGATGCCTCGTTGGTCCTGAACAACCCAGGCATACTCACCTAGCTCTATACTACCTACGTTGTCGGGAGAAATACTTTTCTCCTAGTCAGAGATTGTTTTCATCGAACATCTTCGCTCTACCTGTGTTTTAACACGAGCACTAACCGATTTCTTTAACCAGTGACATGCTCTACTCAACCCCGTTCCCAAATAAATATGCAGTCCATAGGAAAATTTACGAAAGCAAGCGTACGACATTAGTTCGTTGACTTTTTCAGAAGTGGTTTCAGGAAGTGTTGTTAATAGGAAGTCAGCATTATGAGACATGATACACAGTTCATTAGGTTTTGCGACACATTTATTGTTAATAGATTATTTCGTTATCCCGCACAAACTGTGTGATACATCATTTTTAACAGTTCAGTTAGGCTTGCGGGTCCCGATGTTTATTACGAAAATAAACTACGCTGCAATACACAGAAATAGGAATCCCCTGGTCGAGGATCATGAGTCAATTTCCTTGGACATTAGAGTTAGCACCAATGTTAAAATTAGACTGAGGTTACACTTAATGCTTAAGTTTAGGGCTGCAGCTAAGTAAGGTTTTGATTATTAATAATGCTAGGATTTGGGTTGTGACACGGAAATATTTACCCTCTCTGGGATTTTGCCAGAGACCGCCTGCATTAGCGAGGTTCCTATTCACATGTACTGCTGGCCGCATATTAAGAGATGTCAAGTTTGAATTATTCATAACTGGAAACTTTACACAGGCGGTTTGTTTAGTAGTCCGCAGTTAAACTGAAGTCGCGGATTTCGATGCATTATCATGTATCCAGGTACATAGTGGACCATTCATCACTAAACAATGCGGTACTCGCATCTTTCAAAATCTATGTTTTAACTAAATGAAGAATTTGTCGGAGGCGTCTTAGAAGACAACAGTGCCGTAGCTCATAACGCATTAGATAGCTTACTCTTGATTGCCGCCCGAACGGAAGCCGCCCCTAAGTCATTAAATGAGACTCTCAGTTGGTAGAAACGAACGTTATTTAAGTGAAAACACAAGATAAATCCTGAAAATCATATTCCATTGTTTCTAAAAGACAAATTTCTTCTGGGGGCGTAAATACCAATAGCACAAGAATGCTTGTCAAATCGGTAGAGATAAGTTGTGGAAGCAGATAATGCTTGTCCATTTAGACAACTGAGCAAAGGGAACAATGTAAGCACGAAAGCGTTTAAGTAAATACCGATCCATAATCCTCAGAGTAGATCT